AATAATAATAATAATAATAATAATAATAATAATAATAATAATAATAATAATAATAATAATAATAATAATAATAATAATAATAATAATAATAATAATAATAATAATAATAATAATAATAATAATAATAATAATAATAATAATAATAATAATAATAATAATAATAATAATAATAATAATAATAATAATAATAATAATAATAATAATAATAATAATAATAATAATAATAATAATAATAATAATAATAATAATAATAATAATAATAATAATAATAATAATAATAATAATAATAATAATAATAATAATAATAATAATAATAATAATAATAATAATAATAATAATAATAATAATAATAATAATAATAATAATAATAATAATAATAATAATAATAATAATAATAATAATAATAATAATAATAATAATAATAATAATAATAATAATAATAATAAAAAGGTAATATTATTATTATTATTTAATATACGAAGTCGTAAATTTTAAAAAAAAATTTTTTCCTTTCGTATATTTTTCCCGCCATTTTCTTTTTCCCCCCTCTTTCCGTTCACGTTTTATTTAATTAAAGTTATCCAGGTGTCGACGTTGAATGAATGAATGATTGAATGAATGAAAAAAAAAAATATATATATATTTTTTTTATGAAATGTGTGTAATTTCCGGTTCGTTCGACATTTTTTTTTATGAAAAAGTAAAATAACCGTTCGTGTCATATCCGAACAAATTCTATTGAAAAAAAAAAAAAATGGCGTCGTCAAATACAACCAAAACTGTTGACAATAATGACAAAAGTTATATAATATTCTTCTTTAAAAAAAAAAAAAAAACATGATATTCTGACACTTTTTATCATCATTTATTATTATCATCATCATCATTATTATTATTCTTTTTTAAAGCGTGAAAAAAAAAATTTTAAAAAAAAGTGCGATACGCATAACAACGTCAATTATTTTTTTCACTTTTTTATCCTTCTTCCTCTCGTATTTACCATCTCGAATTACGCGAGTAATAAAAAAAAATTTTTTTCGTTTTTTAAAATTGATTAATTTCCCCCTTCCCACACTCCCTAGTGATTGTTTCGAGGGGAGGAAGAGGGCAGGGGGGTGAGGACAATACGTAAAAACTTACCTGCAAAAAAATAAAAAATATGGAGCCGTCGTTAACATAATGATAACGGCAACGATATCTTCCGTTTCTTCTTTACACGTGATCCTGAGCCAAGGTACGAATTGCATTATGCAACAAGAACCTAAAAATAAAACTCTCGACGGAGCTGTCATCTGTAATACATATTCACATCGATAATAATAATGATAATATTAATGATGATGATGATGATGATGATGATGATACTTTTAAAATATTAAAAACGATTAACGACACATTTTTGATCATAAATTACAAAATTTTTTTTTTTTTTTTTGGGAAAATTGACAAATGATTTTTATTAAATTTTTTCCGCTTCCGCACACACCACCCACTCATCCCCCTCCTCATCTCCCCTCCTCATCACCGCCTTCTGATAGTCATTAAGAAGAAGGAAAAAAAAAAAATGTATAATTTAATAATAATTTTTTTTTTTTAAATAAATTTTCCGTCGTCAAAAAAAAAATGTGGAAAATGTCTTAATTAATTAAAAAAAAAAAAAAAAAAACTTTTCTTCTGTGAAAAATTAAATTAATAAAGTTTAAACATTTTCCTTAAAAAAAAAAAAACAAAAAACAAAATGGCCGTCGAAAGGTAATAATTTTTTTTTTTTAATATTAATAATTATGCGATTATTAAAAGAAATTTTTCATTTTCCCCTTCCCACACTCCCTCTATTCCTCCCTCCTTCTACCCACACAAAATTATAATGTTAAAACACAAACGTGTAATTAGACTAATTTATATTTAAATTAATAATAGTGATAATAATGATAATAAAAAAAAGGTTAGTTAAATAACATACGTACGAAAAATTATCTCGTCGAAAATTTTTTTTTCCCCCCCGAAAAAAAAAATTTAAGAAATGAAGAAAAATGGGAAGTAGGAAAGAAAAGGGACGAGGGGATGGCGGGGGGAGTGTAAAAAAAAGATGTAAAACCTTAAACAGGCATTAAAGTAAAACAAATTAAGAGAGAGAAAAATATGGCGCCGTAAAAATTTTTTAATTTTATTTTTTACCCGAAAAAACGTGAGTTAATTATTTAAAAAAAAAAATTTACGATAAAATATAGACTATAAAAATTAGTATCATTCTCTCTCTCTCTCTCTCTCCCCCTCTTTTTCTTTGCACATAAATATAAATTGCAATTATTTATAGCAAAATTAAATCCTTTAAAAAAAAAAATAAAATAAATTTTCACGGGCGTGTAAAAACAAACCAAAAAAATCGAAGCGTAAATTTTCTTTGTTTTGTGATTTCAAGCAGAGGAAAATTATAACGTGACAACAACAACAACAACAACAACAACAAAAACAATAAGAAAAACTCACCAAATTTTCAATAAACATGTGAATCCCTAAAAATTTAGCTTCTCTCAATGCTCCTAACAAATACAAAACAGATCCGATTTCCATCGCTAATTCTGATATTATACGTATTTTATCTTCGTATTTATCATACGATAAAAGTCTACATTCTTTATCATCATTATCATCATCATCATCTCCGTTTAACTTCTGGAAAAAGAAACAAAGAAAGAAAACAAAACAAAAAAATTTAAATTTTAAATTTTAACGAAATAAAAACAAAAGAGAAACATATAAATTTAATAAATTATTAAATATATAAAATATAAACACGTTCGAACGTGATTAAAAAAAAAAAATTAATTATTTACCTCATCCTTTGTTGAATTATTATTATTATTATTATTATTATCATCCCCATCCCCATCATCATCATCCCCATCATTATCGTCATTAATAAAATTTTCTCGAATTTGTCGTTTTTTTTTCTTTTCCCACTGTTTATTTAATAATAATTCTTCGCTTTTATTATTATTATTATTATTATTTTTCTTACTTTTCCACGACGTTTCGTTTCTTTAAACAAAAAAAAAAGTCACGTGATCGTAACAATAAAAACTTTTAATAATAAATCATTGTTGTTATTATAATCTTTTCGTTTAGAGAGGGCGGCCATTTTTTTTTTTTTTTTAAATGAAATTCGATGAAAGTTTTTTTTAACGTTAAGAGGAAATCACGTGTTGTTTTTTAAATTTTGGCGGGAATTTAATAAAATTCAAAAAAAAAAAAATTCCGTTACAAAAAACTTACTTTTGAATTTGTCCATCGTAATAATTTTTAAATAAAATTAATTTATCATATTTTTTGTTTTCGTTCTTTTCAAATTTCGTCGTCGTCGTGGTCATTTGATGAGAATAATTTTTTACTGACGTCACTATCACGTGACCAGGAAAAGAATATGACGTGGCAGTAGTTGTGGCGGTGGTGGTGGTAACGTTATTTGAATTATCAACAACGGACGTTATGTTGTTGTTATTATTATTTAAAACGACGATACCGTTTGTTGTTGTTGTTGTTCCTGTCGGAGGACCGGGTCGAAGTGTAAAACAGATAACAGAGATAAGAAAATAGAAAAAAAAAGATATAAATTGCCTGTAGAATCTAAAAAATAAAAAATAAATAAAATAAAATAAATAAATAAAATAATAAAAAATTGGAAATTTTTTTTTTTTTTCTATTTCGGCCGAAATCGAAGAAAACTTTGAGAAGAAAAAAATTTTTATTTTTGTTTGTTTTAAGAGATGCCATTTTGAATAAAATTTCTTTTTTTTTGTTTCCGATTGTAAATTTTATTTATGACGTTTCGAATTGTTTTCTACTTTAGAAAACGAACAATTTATTTATTTTTTTTTTTGCTTAAAGTAATAAAACTTTTTTTTTTCTTTTTCTTTTTAACTCTATCATTTAAGTAAAAATACTTTTAAGTATCCCTTTTTTTTTTGCTTGAAACGTAAACGTTTGGAAACAAAAATTATTTCTTTACGGTTACGTTCCCCCTCTCCTCTCTCCCTTCTTTCCTTTTACTCTCTTATTCCTTTATACAAAAATTGCAACTATTTATTATCATTATTATCGCTATAATAATTTTTTTTATTTATTAAAATTCTGATAAAATACCTGTGGTTTTTTAAAAGGTAATAAAATATCAATTGCGTTTTCCGCTCTCTTCATTTCATTTCCGGTTTATGATTTCAAAAAGAAAAGTAAATGTAAAATTTTCTTTCTTACCTGAATTTAACGTAGGTGTTCCATTTTGCGACTAATAAATCTACCAATACTCCATCCATGAGTTCTAAATGTTCGTCTTTTTCCTTAAAAAAAGAATAAGAATAATATTAATAATAATAATAATAATAATAATAATAATAATAATAAAAGAGTGGTAAGAAAAGAAAGTGAAAGAAAAGAAGTGTAGGGTAGGGAGAAAACAGGAAAATGAAAAAAAAAAACAAAAAAAGAAATAAGGATTCGAAAAAACTGAATGAAAGAGAGAGAGAAAGAGAGAGGGGGTGGGGGTATGGGGAAGAGGGAAAGAGGGGGAAGGGGATGATAAGGGTGATAAGAAAAGGTGTAGAAAAATAAAAATAAATACGGAAAAAATTCAAAAGATTTTTTTTTTTTTTAAACGAACGAATTTTTGTAGTAAACAAACACGTTTTTTTTTTTTTTTTTTTTTTTTTGAAATCTCAGCCGCAAAAAAAAAAAAAAAAAAAGTGGAAAAAGAAAAAAGGAAAAAAAAGTGGAAGAAGAAAAAGAAGGAAAATAAAAATAAAAATGAAAAAAAAAAAAAAAAAAAGAAAACCTTGGAAAATGAAAACCCCTTTTGAAATTTAAAAGCTTTTACATTCATTGAGAAAAGTCATTTGTTTTTTTTTTTTTTTCCAAAGGCCGCCCCCTTAACAAAAAAAAAATCCCCCCTTTCTTTTTTTTTTCTATTTCATTTGAAAAATTTTAAGAAAAATGAAAAAAAAAATGAAAAAGGAGGAAAAAATTTTAAACCGGAAATAAAATGAACTCACTCCGAAAACGACTAAATTTAACGCTGAATTTTTACTTATGTTTCCGGTTTCGATATCAATCGTATCGATTTGTGATAACGGATATGCCGCACACGTTATGCTCCCTGAAAACCAACAACAACAAAAATTTTCCAAATCGGAATCTTCTAGAATGTTTAAAAAAAAAAAAGAAAAAATTCATTAATTTACCTATTTGCCAATAAATTTCTCTTTCTATGTTTAAAATATGAAAAAAAAGTTCGACTCTTGCTAATTTTGCCGCAAGTGTAAGTGGCGTTAGACATTTTGCATTTTTTAACGATAAATTGGCGCCAACTTCATAAGCCACGTCAAACATGGGCTAAGAAAAAAAAACAAATCATTTCCAATCCTTTTTTTTTTTTAATTTCCTAATTTTTCTCATTCCCATTTTACCAATTTATTATGTATGACGAGCATGTGTAAAACAGTGTTGCCATTTGTATCTTGATTATCGGGATTGGCACCCTTGGCAAGCATCAAACGATAACTTTCTTCTTGTCCCAAACAAGCTGCAAAACTTAACGGATATTCTCCCCAATAAACGTATCTGTAATAACCATTTTTTTTTAAAATGAATTTTTAATAAAAAATAAAATTAAGATCGATCGATCGATATATCAATATATCGATGATTGATTATATTTAAAAATAATCCATTAATTAATTTTTTGTTTTGTTTTTTTTTTGTCGGGGGAGGGGGAGGGAGAGGGTGGAGAGTAAAAAAACATTTGTTTTGGCAAATAACTTCATCATGTCGATATATTAACAAAGTTAATTAATTAATAATTTAAAGTTATTATTATTATTATCACGATAAGAAATAATTAAAACGAAGTTAATTAATTAATTATTAAAATAAAACCGCAAATCAAATAATTACATATGATAATAATTATAATAACGTGTTTTTTTAATTTTTTATTCGACGATTAATATGAATGAAATTTTTTATTAATAAGGGTTAAAAGTTTTGGTAACATTGTTGTAACATGTAATTGGGGTTGGTAATATTTATAAAACGATAAAGTGAAAAAAAAAAATTTAATTTTAAGTTTTGAAGTTTAAAAAAAATTTGTCGCATTTTTTTTTGTCGTAGTAGGAGAAAAGTCTCGTTTTTTTGCCGTGGCAGGAGAAAAGTTGTGTCGTTTAAAAAAGGAAACTTTTTTAAAATTTAAAAGTAACGTTTTTTGGGTAATGATGTGCGATTTAAATTTGAAAATGAAAAAAAAAATAAAATAAAATTTTTAAATTATCAAGTTTGGCGTGTGTATGTGTATTCGAAATAGAAATTTTCCCTGTCGGATTTCAATTGAAAAATGCTGTCATGAAAATAAAAAAAGGAAAATTAAATTAAGGGAAAACACGTTTTGAAAAATCATCACGCAAAAAATTTCTTTTTTTTTTTTTTTTAAATAAAAGCTTAACCCTTGATTTTTTCGTAATTAAAAAAAAAATAAAACATTTTTTTTTTTCACAAAAGCATGCACGACGTTTTATATTTTAAAATGTTTTTTTTTTGTTAACGTGGGTCAAGGTCAAGGTCAAAATTTAAAATCAAAATCCCGTCCCCTTCCTCTCCCCACGCCATGTTTTTTTTTCGATCAATCAAATTTTCACTAATTTATTATCAATCGCACATATTTTTTCACGTCGGAACGATCGCCATTTTAAATTATTATTAAATGATTTTAAAAATAAAAAAATTTTTTAATCTGGTTCCACGTCGTGGTCGGGAGTGGGTGGTGTACTCCTGTAATCCACCTACTCGAAGGCGGAGTATAGAGGATGTTTTTAGGTAGGTGTGGTTATGGGATTGGATTTCTCACGTTGGCTAAGTTTCCGCTAGGGGTTAACCTTGGACATGGATACCTTGGGGGAGTTTGGGGTAGCCAGGGTAAGTCGGAAGAGGCGGAAGTAGTCCGCCCAAAAAAGTTTCACGTGTCGAAGGTCGCGGGTTCGATTCCAGGGTTTGAAAATTTAGTTTCGGAACGTGCAATACAGACAAACCTGTAAGAGGATCCACTAGTACCCTTTCGAAGATAGGGGTCGAGGCTAAAATGCAATTTAAACCCCCCCCTTCAAAAATACACGGCAATATATGAAAAATTTTTTATTTCCACGTCTTTAACTTACCCTTCGTAATTAGTTTCCGTTGATAAATTAACATATTCATGATCGAGAGAATCCGTTCTTGTTGCTTTTTGATCTTCTGGACACATGAAATTTCCAAAACAACGTTCGTGAAAATTAGAACCGCTATCGAGTAAATATTTAACCATGGCAGGATCTTCATTTACTATTGCCACGTGAAGAACGCTTTCACCTAATCATAAATCATTATTATTACTATTTTTTAAAAAATTAATTAAATTTTTACGAACAAAATCCAACATTTCGCCTCTCCTCCCCCAACAATTCACCTTCTTATTTTGCTCTTGTAATCTTTTTTTATTCTCCCATTTAATTATGCTCAGGCGGTTACATAAAAAAAACGAGGAGGGCAGGGGGAGGGTTTCCCTGTTGAAAATAGATTTAAGGCCTTTTTATACTCCGAGGTATATTGGTAACGGTTTTGACAAACGATCGGCGGTGAGTGAGTTTAAAATCTATTATAAATAGAATTCGTTCCATGGATATAAAAATAATAATAATGATGATGAGAGTAATAATAATAATAATAACAAGTCCCGAGAAAATCTGGAAAAGATTGAAAATAAAATTGGAAACGTTTAGAAAAAAAGTTTAGAAAGGTTGTGTAGAAGATTAGGGAGGTTTCTCTGGATAAAACTGGAGAAGTCTGGAAAAAAATTCTGGAGAAGTCTGGAGAAAACTGGAGAAAACTGGAGAACTAGAATAGTCTGGATAAGCCTAGAGAAGTCTAAAAATATCCTGGAGAAAACTGGAGAATTCTGGAGAAAATTCTGGAGAAGACTGGAAAAGTCTGGATAAGACTGGAGAATATCCTGGAAAAATCTAGAACAAAAATTAATATCGAAACATTTATTCGCAAGCAATCGGGTAGAATTTTGGAAATAAAACTCCTACAAGGGCAAACATGGAATCTCGCGTTGAATTAAAATAATAATTATAATAATAATAAAAACAGAAACAATTCCGGCTATCGTGGGAGCAGCACTGGAAGCCATGCCACATTCAATGAAAGGAAATTTAAAGAAAATTTTGAAGAACCTAAAGGAAGAAACCATCCAGGATTATAGAGAAAATATTATAAATAGTACCACCGAAATTCGAGTATTTGTCCCTAAGGAAACTCCCGACAAATAAGAGCCTTGTCGTGTTTAATAGTGAACATAATAATAATAATGTGATTATATTAAAATTTTACGATTGTAACGTAAAAAAAAAATTATTTATTTATTTTTACGTAGAGTTATAAGTTTAATAAAGGGGTTTCTGAACATTTCTAGAAATTTACCTAAAAGTTGTTTTTTAATAAAGTACATAAATAAATAAATAATAATAATGATAATAAAGTAATTAAACTTACCGTAATATTCGTCCGACATGTAAATGTCATTTATAAGTTTCGGATAAAATTTTAATAATCTTTTAGCTAAATCCGCGTGGATTGACGTGGCATTAAGCATGCACAGGTGAAGGCATGTTTCTCCCACGGCTCCCCTTTTTTTCAAATCCCAACAAACGTCTCTATATTTTTTATTGTAATCGTGAAAATCTAATAAAAAAAAAAAATCATCATTATTATTTAAAAAAATTTTTTCATGGAGTTAAAACGAATTTTTACGTTTTTGTCGTTGTCGTCGTTATTGTACGTGCAATAATAATAATAATAATAATAATAATAATAATAATAATAATAATAATAATAATTTTATTTTTTAAGAAAAAAAGTTTTCCTGTTGTAAATAAGACTTTTCAAAAAGAAAAAAAAAAGGAAAAGAATTCAAAGGAAAAAAGTTAATTCATTTTACCTTCTTGTACGCCATCTGGAGCCGGTTGAAAATCTCCAGGATTTCCATCACGATCCATGTCAAATTCAGATTCTGGATCTTCCATGTTTTTAAGAAGCGGAAGCTGAAAAAAAAAATTTATTATTATTATTATTATTATTATTATTATTATTTTTTGTTAATCCTAAAATTTTCTTATCATCATCATTCTCGTTCTCATCATTATAAGTTAAAAATTTAAAAACTTTTCCAATATTTTTTTTATTTTCTCCAGTTTTTTTTTTTTTTTGGAAAAAAAGCGGAAATGAGTATTTTTTTTCTCTCTTACCAATTTTGTTCTAGATCTTTCGCAGTTTCTTAAAAGTACCAACTGTGATATGGGTATCAATCTTCCTTTTCCTTTGTTATATAAAAAAGGTTCAATTTTTGTTTTGATCGCGTGATCTAATTCAGCATATTGTTTCGTTTGTGTCGCTCTTTTCATCATGTCGACCAAAAGACCTCCACCTGAAATAATAATAATAATAACAATAATAAATTTTTTCCTCCAATACGAAAACGATACATATGATGATAATAATAATAATAATTAAAAACGTACCTTTTAAACCGACTAATTTGTACAATGGTTGTTCGGATGTTCCCGCTTGTTTTTTTACACCACTCGTAACGTTACTCTCTGTATTTCCCATTTTTTTTTAACTAAAATAATAATAATAATAATGATATTAAATCAAAGAACCGGAAATGTATATAATAATAATATAAAAAAATTATAAAAGAAAAAAAAGCATTCAAGTTTTAAAATAAAATGAAAAAGTAAAAATTTTAATATTTGTTATTTATGTACATATATGTATGTATTTCCGTACCGGAAATGATATGTTAAAATGATAATAATATTTAAATTACGTTGAAAACAATTTAATTTTCCTTTTGTATATATACATATTAATATTTTATTTCGAAAACGTTGAAAACTTTTTTATTTGTTCAAAACAAAAAAACTTTTTCAATTTTATTTTAAATTCTTCATCTTTTTTTTTAACGTTTTTATTACTGAACGCGCACCACACGCACACACGCACTCGCGCGTGAAGGGTTTTTTCTTTTGTTATTTACGCGACAAATTTCCCTGATTTTCATTTTTTTGTCGCAAGTCATAATAAATTCATTCATCATATGCATTTTGATCGGTCAGGTTTTTACGAAAAAGCGGATGTTGATATGTTGTTTTCATTTTTCGTGGGTAAATGTGTGTAAATTCCCGTGACGTGACGTCCACGCTACGTCATTTCCTGTACGGTTTCCGTTTTTTTAAAAAATTTTTTTTTTCAAAATCACGCAACGACGATCCAAATCATCGTCGTCGTCGTCATTTTCTGGATTTTTTATTTTTCTCAAAGTTTTTTTTTTTGATTTTAAAAAATTTTTACCGCCGATTTTTGTATTGTTCCGTCATTTCCGGTTTTTGTAAATTATTTATTTATTTATTTGATGATACGAAATCACTTATTGTAATCGTACCGAAATTTATTTACGCCTTTTCAAATATACATTTCATTTTCTTAATATCAGTTAATCGGACAATTAAAGAAAATCAATCAATCAATCAATCATTTCCGTTTCCGATTTGGGAAAATTTATTCATTCATATCCTATTTTGTGAAATTTAAAGATTTAAATTTTAATAATTTTAAATCTTCTCCAACTTCAAGTGATAAATCCTTTATTTATTTATTTATTATTATTATTCAACCAGTAGAATTTTAAAATAAAAAATATTTACGTATATTTATAGTACTATATAGCGCTATAAATACGTAATAATAATAATAATAACAACAAAATTTATTTTTATACGTATTTTTCCTCATCGTTATATTTTATGTAAAAGAATATATTTTTTTTTTTTTCGATCGAATTATTTAACCCGGGAAAAAAGTATTATTATCATTATCATTTCCGTTTTATTTTTTTTTTATCCGAAAATATTTTTGATAAAATAATAACGAAAAAGTAAAATGGAGGAAATTAAGATGAAAAAAGGGGAAGAAAAAAAAAAGGTTGATAAGTGATTACATGTAAGATATAACACGTAATCGAAATTTTTTTTTTTTTTTATATGTTGGTAACACGAGAAAATTTATTTTTTTTTTTATCTTTTAATTAAAACAACGTTCGGAAATGTATACATATTTCATGTCGTTATTTGTTTCCTTTGTAAACTTCCTTTTTCTATTTTAAAAAAGGAATGGAAAAGAAAAGAAAGGAAAGAAAAGGTAATATGCAAAAAGGTTTGATATGTTTGTTTGTTTGTTTCTTTGTGTGTTTTACTGCTTTAAATTTATAGCATATAAGTTATTATAATGATAACGATAATAAGGATGATGATGATGATGATGATGATGATGATGAAAACGATGATGATTGTGTTGATGATGTTGGTATTGATGATGTTGGTGTTGATGATGATGATGATTGTGTTGATGATGTTGATGATGATGATGATGATGATGATGATAATGATGATGATGTGATTAGTCTTACGCGCGTATGGGAAAAACGTATTAAATGGCAAACGTTTAAATCGTGATTTAAATCCGCAGACGGATATTATAAAATTAAATAATAAAATATTTTTATTTACAAAAATTTTTTAATATTCCTCACAATTTTCTTCATGTTTTCCTCATCCTTCGAAATAAAATTAAACGCGCATTTTAAACGTGTAAATAGAAAAAGTAAGTTTGTAAAACGAGTTTTCCATTTTCTTCGCCTCTTTTCGCTCATTTTTCCTTCCTTCCTTCCTTTTCCCATTTTTTAATGTCTACGCACCCGCTACTTTATTATTGTTTTCATTCTTTCCTTTTTTAATCCGGTTTTAATATTAAAATGACATTATTTACTTTTTAAATTTAATAATGTATATATAATGATAATAATAATAATTTTTTTTTTTTTTTTGATTTTATTATAAGAAAAAGATTTCGTCGTCGGCCATTTTTTTTCGTTTTCTTTTTTTTCCTTTATTAAGTCGGATGACAAAAGATTAATTTAATACAAAAAAAATAAATCTTTTTTTCAAGATGGCGTCACAAGTTTAATTTTAAAAATTAATTTATAAAAAGGGGAGGGGAACGGGGGGCGGGAAAGAAAAAGACAAAAATTTTTTGCGACGATTACATTTAAAAACATACGTGAAAATAAATAAAATGAAAAAAGAAAACACGTAATTAAAAAGAAAAATTTTCTTTTTCTTAAAAAAAAATTTTCCTCACAAATCTTTTCATCATTTTTCATTCATTCTTTCTTTCTTTCTTTCTTTCTTTCTTTCTTTTTACAATATTTGCAAAATTTTTTATATGACATTTACAACAAATTTTTTTTTACGTTTGAAAAACGTCAAATTCATTAAAAGAAATGAAATTTTTCACTTTTTTATTTTATCTTAATTAAAATTTTTAATAATAATAATAAAAAACTTTAAAATTAATTAATTATAATAATTTATGCATGGAATTTTATTTATTTTTATTTTAAAATTAATTTTAAATTTTTGTGAAACCGAAAAAATTAATAATAATAATAATAATAATAATAATAATAATTAAAAAATATTCGATTAATAATTTTAACCAGGAAAAAAAATTTGAAATTTTTTTTTCGTTAACGACATAAGCTAAACAGTAAATTAAAAAATAATTTTTTATTCGTGGAATGTGTAAAAAAAAATCTCGTGAAATTTTTTTTTTTTTTTCCTTTCTCTTATTTACAAAAAATTATAATAATTATTCTAATTTAGAAATTAAAAATGTTTAATTATTTCTCCCTTACCCCTCTCCCCCCCCCTCGTTTTTTCTGCTGAAAAATAAAATTTTAAAATTTAAAAAAAGAAAAAAACTTGAAAAAGTAAAAAAGGAA